TGGCATAAGTGCAATAATCTGCCAGTAATTGCACCATTCTCTAGTCTGTGTTTTCTTGAAAATTAAAGGCTTTCTAAAATATCTAGTTTTCCTGTTCAGGGAAAAAAAAGGCCTGAATGTGCCAGTTGTTTCTGTGCAATAAGAACAAAGGAAGCCTGGTGCCCGTACACAGTTGCTGTATTCATAGGAAAATATCTGTTGCTCAGCGCTCAAGCTTTAATTAGAGGAATAGCAATTTTAGCAGGCTAGATGGGCATTGGCCATTAAAAGAAAAAGGCTGTCGTCAACTTTAAGTCTTCTTTGTCTGCTAGTGATATCATGAACATATCTAGGTAGTTTTCTTGGCAATTTTCTGATGTCCTAATGTATATGTCTAAAAATAGGAATATTTGATTTCTTTATGATTGTAGGGAGCATACCGTTTATAAACAGTAAAGGAGGATTTCCTGACATGTTCAGTGTTAATAATCACTTACATTACATTTTGAGAAGGAGAGCTGAATAACTACAAACACTGGCAGAGAGGAAAACACTTGTATGGCACAGCTTGAAAATAAGTAAATTCATTTTCTCCCCAATCATTATTTCACAACCTCGAAAGTACCTTTAATTGGTGTACTACTGTACTTTATAGCACTCATTGAAAGGGAGCGAATCTAGGACTGCACTCTGTCCATTTTTCATCACTTATAGTAGAAAAGGGGAAAGTGGAGGATATAGGCAGGACAGCAGTGGTGGTAAAGGTAGGGTTTTCCATTGTCCTTTCTTGGTATAGTACATGAATCGCAAAGATCAGCTGTTAAAAGTATCAAATTAGCTTTAGGCAATGTATTTTACACTGAGATAAACATGACAGAAAAATAACTGTTTTCAGAAATCATTCATACCTCCAGTAGCTGTGCTGATAGGGATGTTGCTGCTACTCAGGGTCACAATAAAGGAAATGGAAAATCTGTATCTGGAAAAAATCTTAATGGAACACGATGTTAAAAGAAATACAGACGTATCTAAATCGGTGTAAGAAAGTACTGCTTATTAAAGAGGAAAGGGAGACGCTGTATGTATTCTTCCTGTCATTTAGTGGGGATGGAGAAAGGATTGACAAATTCTTTAGGGTGGGGAATAAAACTCAAGTCAGGAGTCCAAAGATGTTGATTATGTAGGAAGCTACATTAGGAAGCCATGCAGGCACACGCAGTACAGCTGAAGCTTGCAGGTGACAGCGGCTCATGCCACAGAAGGCCTATCCAACTCAACCTCCACAAGCTCAAAAGAATCCCAGATCATTCTGGTCATCTTGCTAGACCCTCTCCAAGTGGAGTGAAGCTCACAGCAAAAGCAAACAATCTTTTCAGTTTCTTGCCTTCCTGCCTGCCTGAAACCTTGGATAAGATATTAAGATAACAACATTCTGTTCTTCTCCATTCCTATGCAAAATATATATATTGTATTGAAAGTGATTTGTATACTTATGTTTACTACACCTGAACACCTATTTGCAGTGCTAATTTAGCAGTAAGGCCCTGCTAAGCTAAATGGGATTTATTTCAAGCAAACCTTGCTTATGACTGCAGCCTTATCATTATGGAAAGGAAGGAAGGCCCAAAGCAGCAGTTCCCAACCTTTTCCTGCTTGCAGATTGTAACTTTGTCCCTAAAAGCTTTTGAGAATCAACCCATAAACCAGTTTGCACCTTTAAGCGCCATGGCATTCAGTACATGAACCTCCAATAGCATTTACAGCAACCCAAAATCAAGTATTTTACATTATGTTTTTTCAGAATGTAAAAAACTTAAAAGATTTGGCTATCTTGTGAGATCTGAGATATATAAGAAAAATGTGGTGCCTGCAACAAGCACCAGTGCAGTATTCCTGCAAGGCGCTAGTGATCCTTAGCCCTCAAATAACAAACCACTGTTCCAAAGTACTGATCATTTAGTAAAAGGATGAGTAGAACCTGCAATACAGATAGACCTTGCTTAACAACTGCCCTGTTTAGCGACTGTTCAAAGTTACAATGGCACTGAAAAAATAACTTTACAAGGATTTCCTGACATGTTCACAGTTCAGTCTTCACATTTACAACTGTCCCAGCATCCCCAAAGTCACATGATCAACATCTGGGTGCTTTGCAGCTGGCTTCCGACAAGCAGAGTCAATGGAGAAGCCAGCAAGTCACTGTCATGTGATATCTTGCTTAACGACCCATGGTGACTCGCTTAACAACTGAATGGGAAGTGATGCCATAAGTCTGTCATAGTCACGGGATGTTTCACTTAGCAACCATATTGCTTAGTGACAGAGTTGCCAGTCCCAGCTGTGGTTGTTAAGCGAGGGCTACCTGTAAAATGTTGCTACCCAGAATGTCCCTTATTCAAAATTCCAATGATTCTGCTTCTCTCACATCCAGTTTTTGCTCCCCCTTCACAAGGCAATTATTACTATGCCATGGTTACTGAGCACACTCTATCTTCACTGGGGTTGTTACGGAAGGTATACCTCTCCAACTGTTTTCTAAAGTTTGAAAAAAAATACTTCTGAAGATCTTGGTGTTCAATTGAGATTACAGATAGAGTTATGGAAAGAAATGAAATGACACAGTTGTTAGGAAGAGTGTTTTAGTTTGTCTATTTATTGTGTTTTGTAGTTCAAACTGTCTAGAAACTGAACCATCTCAATAGAATGTGCATTATATTATATATGTATTGTAAATAAATAAATTTTAATACTAGGGATTATCCAGTGCTGAAGTCATTGGCAAAGCTCCCACTGATTTTAAAGGTGGCACATAAATTGTTCAGTTTACCTTAAAATGGACATTTGATCTTTTTAAAATGGAAATAATTACAAACCAAGTGCCAAAAAGCATATTTGAAAGATTTTACAATGGTCAGTGAAATCCTACATAATGCAAGCCATTTTATTTATCAATCTAAGCATTTGCTATCACCAACAACCTATGGCTACCTATTACACTTGTTACAGTCCATGATCATAGATTGCAATATACTACACTATAATAGAAAAAGAAATTATAATGCAATCAAATGATACAAGAATGGTACAGGCTAGTTAGCAGTCAAAGTTCATTACAACTGTGCACCAGAAGCTTCAGGAAGCAGAATAGAATGTAGAATACAGTATAGAAATGAAAACCACACACAAGGGGGCTAGGTGTGGGGGCTAGCTGTGGACTGCAATGCTTCCTCACTCCTCTTATCCATTGGCTGCATTTCTTACATTACTCTCCCCTGGTTTTTGCTGCCTTCCTCTTCCTCTCTGGATCTACTTTAAACTTCCTCTTTCAGGTCCTCAACCTGCTTCACATCTCATGCTGCCTTGCATCTCTGTCTTGCCTCTAGTCCAGTGTTCCCCAAAGTGGTCAATATTGACCCCCAAGGGTTGATGGGACTATCCAATGGGGGGATGATGATGATGGTTATTATTGTTCATAGTACTATTAGTTTAAGTAGTATTTATTAAATTATTTTCATATAATAAATGTTTGGGGGTTGATGAACAATCTGAAACTTGAAGGGGTCAATGAGCTGAAGAGTTTAGGGACCCCTGCTCTAATCAAAGTACTGTTAGGCCTACGAAGTACAGGTAATCCTTGCTATCTGACCACAACAGGAACTGGAATTTATTTCACTAAGCAATTTGGTCATTAAGCGAATCAGAGTTGATTTTATGACTTTTACGATGGGCGTTAAGAAAATCACTGTAGTCGTTAAGCAAATCATGTGGTCGTTAAGCAAATTCAGCTTCCCCAATGGATGTCTTTTGCCAGAATTTGCTTAACAACCACGACTCGCTTAATGACTGTGGTGATTTGCTTAATGACCATTGCAAAAAAGGTCACAAATTGCGATCACGGGACTATGGGGGGTCATAAAGCACTTTTCCCAAGGCTGTTGTAACTCCAGACCATCACTAAACAAATGGTTGTTAAGCAAGGACTACCTGTATAGGACTGTGCAGTGATTTGGATTAGATTCATAAGAGGTGCTTCAGAACTCATGGGAGCACAAATGCAGCCTCTCTGCAATTGACTAAAGCAGCTATTTCTCTCTCCAAGATCCTGCAGTAGCAGGGACCTCACTGCAGCAACCGCAGAGGGCTACAAATAGGCACAGTTGCTTTGTGTAGTCATAGGCAGGTGTACAACACTAGAAAGTATTGCTCATGAACGTAAAGGAGAGTACCTGCTCATCTGCCAATCTCATACACAATAACATTATTGTCAGCAATATTCATCCTTCTGTGTTCTTCAAAGGACAAACCAGCCAATCTCTTGTTTATGCAAACAAACAGTTGCAAAATCCAACATAAGACAGAGCACATTTTCCAAAATCAATCAAGAAATTTTTGACCCTCCCAGGCCTCTGGCCGCTGAAATGACATTTTGAGCAAAGGAATGTTGGAAAATACATGTTGGAAAATAACATTATTATCCACATACAGAAAAGGGAGGGTGAAATAGATACCTGCAAGTTCATGGCTAATTTGAGCTTTGAGCTTCAGACTAGGTCATGTTTGTAATGCTACTATTTTGAATAATTATTGCTCAGTGCAATTCAATCAAGAATTATACCCAAGAATATATACTATACTCCACTCTGTGTTGTACAAGATCCAGGAACTTCCAATTTGTTTTAAAAAGTATTACAGAGCAATACTGATTTCAGTCAAAATGTGCATTGTTTAAAAAAGGCCAAGATCGAGACATAATGACACTAAGAACAGTCAGAAAAGAATCCAACTGTGATGTGAGATTATAAACACCAGTTTCGTGAGTAGACAGGTACAGAATAAAAATAAAAATCTGAGAAATTCTAGCTGATGCTTATTATGATACACCACAAAATAATGAACCAAATGATTGTCTGCACATTAAAAGCATGTTAAAGCACAACTAGCACTAGAAATCAGGATTTTTTTTTCATTTTATATCTTATTAGATCCAATAAATAAACTGTGAACACCAAGACTCAGGGTAGTAGCAATATATTTTTATCAGCCCTCATAATCACTGGATTTTTCTATTGAATCTTTGTAATCGTTTTCACTTTCATGCTCAGTAGCTTCTTGGACAACATGATCTGATTGAGCCACTGCATCTTCATCTTCTTCTTCTTTCTCCTCCTCCTCCCCACTATGCTGGGCTGACTGGAGTTGGGAGTCATCTTCTCCTTCAGATTCTCTTTTTTCTTCATGTTCATTATCACTACACCAAAAGGGGAAACAACAGGTCCACTGAATAATAATATATTCTTTTAGAAACACATTACAAGTTCAGAAAGTATAAGCAATAAGGAACCCTTTTCAAACTCTAATTTTGTTATTTCATGGGTGAACAAATAATCTATTTAATTTTAAAATGGTGTTATAAGTTTGGTAGACAAAGACAAAATATTTTTTGTGAGTGAACAATTTATTACGTTTTTATCCTGCTTCTCAATTTAAAAATGCAGTATAAGATAGGCTTTACTTCAAGCTTATAAACTGGAATAAGTTATGTATGGGAAATGAGTCTTTCTCCAAAATGTTATTCTATTCAATTCAGAGGACACAGGCAGGAAATAATTAACTGTTTTCCTAATTTAAAAAGTATGCTCAAATAAATAAATAAATAAATAGAATGCCCAAAGAAATGCACAGTTAAACTTGGGTTTTTATGTCCTAAACAATCAGCTACTGACAACTGCTAGCAAGAAAAGAAGCAACAAATACTGTCCGCTAAAACACGGAGACAGAAACAAGAGCTGTTTATAGTTTTTGACAGATTCTGCATTCTTTGTCTGAGAAGTCAGCTTTTCTTAACAGAAAGCCAGACATTTCATATTTAGAATGAAGTATATTAGGAAGCTCAAAAATAGTACTATAAACTTTCAATTTAAAATGTCTACCTTTCTACATTTGCTACCAAGCTTTCAGAGCTATTACTGGAGCGATCCTGCAAAAATTCTTCACTAGCAGTTTGGCCTTTCTTTGAAATAAAGTCTTCACACAGCCCCAGCTCTCGGAGCACATCAGAATAATGCTTCTCTGCTGCTAGCCGTGCATTTTTCTATATTTAGAAGGAGAAAATAACAAAATTAACACATCAGAAAGATACAGTATCTCCAAGTTTAAAGAAATCACTCTACATGTGTTCCTAATTGTCCCTTATTTTACAAGATAAAAGATTCCAAATCTGCAGGTCACCCTCACTTGATTGAAATATAAATCAATTGTTCATACAGTACATAGCGTTAGATCGTGACATTTTTGACTTCTCAATTACAGGCTTAAGCTTGGCAAACATATTACATATCAAGATTACATGCTATCAGCTATTGCAAATGGCTTCTTCCTCCATCAATAGGCAGGGGGGGAAACCTGCAGTCCTAAAGGAAATGGAATATATATTATTCCAGAGTAACACCATATCCTGGAAACATTAGTCCCAATGTTATTGTTTTGTAATTATGCAAAAATATCAGCATTAAATGTTCTCCGTTCTCTGTATCACAACATATAATGGGTCAGAAACGTGGAAACCAGTTTGATACAATCATTCATTATTATAAACAGGTCGCAACCATCACTGGAAGTAATAGCACTGGTAAATCAAATTAGGCCTAATGGCATGGAAGGTGGCATTACTGGCATTATCTTAGCAATAATTATTAAACACAACATAAAAAGAAAAAGCAACAACTTAATGAATGGAGATATATTTAGAAATATTAGAGATGTCAATAACCTGTGTGGCTTGTTCCAACAACAGAGGTCTCTTTTCCACCCTTTCTTCCATTTCTTCCAGTTCCTGCAGATACTCTTTCATTCTCTGTTTTTCATGTTTCCTGTTTTTTTAATATACCATGACATGGAAATGGTATGGAATTTAAATATGAGTTTTTTAGCAAAATAAAAAGGGAAGGAGCAAGACTATATGGATCTGCCTACTACTATACTAAGGATCTTATATCTAGGGTTTCAGGAATCAGGGAATATATTGCAGAATACCTAAACAACTTTAACTTTGAGTTATGCATCTTGGCTAGGCTCTGATGTGGATCATTTGCCTCAGCCCGGGTAGCTATAAGCCTTTGTAGCTTTTTTGCTCTCTCCCTTTGTTTTGCTTGTCTTCTTTTATGCTCTTCTTCAACCTTCTTTTTTTCCTCAGCCGATTTCCTGAATAAGAAAATAAACTAAGTCTAGCTAATGCATAATAGCTTTTGTGGCACCCTCTCTCGATATACCTATATGGATCAAGAAATAATGTACTATTAGATATATATAATGATGGTTACGTCACCATACTAGAGAATATAAGCAACTTTATATTTATTTTCCAGCAGAACAGCCACTGTCACCATTGTTACAGTCAAGACATTCCTAACCCCACAGGTCACATTGTAGCATTTAATATATGAACCTGAATCTATTACTGAATTAATTCTGCTCTGACTGGCAAATCTTCCAGCCCCGTCAAATCTGATCTAGGACGTCTATCTGATCTTAGTCTTTTGGTAAGACACCTTTGGATAACATACACCAAATCCTAGATGTTGGAGGAAGATATTTCAGTGCCTATAAAGTCTGATGTGGAAATAGGAAGATTAACTTGGGTTCCATGCAACAATTTTGTTGCATGGACCCCAAATGAATAATAGAAGGATGGAAGTAATTACTTCATCTTCACCCACTTTCTTCATATTTTGTGGCGCAAAAAGCATTGACTTCTTTATTATTGGAAGTATTTGGAATAGAGGTAGCATACTTCTTTGTTCTTTGCTTGGCTTTCCCATTAGTGAAAATAAAGCACAACACAAGAAAAGCTTTGTGGCCCTGACATTCCAAATGATACAAAATTCACCCAAACTATGTATTTGCATAGATTAAAAAAGAGAGAGATCAGAATACAGTTGAAGTATCAGAGTCAATAAAGCAGCCATAAGTATGCACAGCCAAGTTAAAGCATAAAATCTTAACACAAATTTCTAGCCAAAAACGTCTATCTATTCATTAGAGATAAACAAACTTTTTGAAGCACTGTGATCCACTTTGCTCCCTTGGATCTCCCCAGTTTCTTGTAGATTTGCAATGGTTTTTTAGGCTCCTTTTCCTTATCTCAGTCCCCAGCTTTCCAAAGCTTGGATTTAAACAAAAACTGTTTTCCTCTCTAGAAAGAGGGAGAGCTAAGGGGATTTCTATGGCCTAAATGCTGCTTGAGTATTAACACTGCTGCTTGAGATAAAAGATGTACAGTATATATATTGAGAATGTTTGCAGTCTGCCTGACATATAGCTGATAGAGTGGGATGAGAGGCTGGGAGTCTGGAGCATCAGAAAATGCAGACCAAGCTGGTTTGACAACAAAAGCCACATGCCTTTTTCAAATCAAGGAACAACAGCAGAATAAAACAAGTGGATCACTCAAACACTAGGGGAAAAAACAGTGCATTCTTTCTTTAAAATCTCTCAAAACACATGGGGTTTGTTTCACACTCAGAACACTCACAATGGCAATTCTGAGGTTGGAACACCCATGAAGTGGAAACATTTTCCATAATGCTATAAAACAAGTATTTATATTTTCAACATCTGCATGTTTTACTTACCATAAAGAACTTGGGATTAATTGCACAGCAAATTAATGGCTTACCTTATGGCTTCTAATCGTCTTCTTGTAGATTCTGTAATTCTTGGAGATGGAGACTGTTCACAGCCTGAAGGACATGAACTTGCATTCAAAGACTTCATTCGAGGATGACATCTTGCAGAGACATAAGGCCGCCGTATTTCCTTTAATGTTGCTTCATCCATTTTGATGTCATCAAGAATTTTCTCTTTGTTGGATGAGATATTTGGTGTACAGAGATTGAAAGGCTCACTGATTGTGACACTTTTCACATTCTTATGTCTTTGAAGCTGCCGCTGGAATTTTTTATGTAATGTTTCAAAATCAGGGACTTTAACTTTGGTCTTTGGCTTGCATTCTGATTCTTCACTTTGTTCAAAGCAGTTTTGTTGCCTGGGCCTAATGACGCCTCTATTTCCTAATCTGCTGTTGGGAAGTGATGAATTACGTAGAAGCTCTTCAGATCTAACTTGAATTCTAATGTCTCTATAGAGTTCTTCTTCCTTTAGTTTTTCTCTCATTTCTGAACTGTAAACAAATTTAGGAACTGGTTTAGCTTTGAACATTTTTGCTTTTTTTTCTGGTGAGGAAAATTGCATTTTCCTCAGTTCTTTCTTTTGTGCTTCTCTTTCAATAAACTGAAATGGCTTTTGTGTTGCTAGAAGAAACTCTCTCCTCCTTTCTCTAAATGACTTTCTACGTTCTTCATTTTCCTGTGTTATTTCATGATAGAGAGGAACAAAGACATATGCAGGTACTGGATTGGCTCGGAATTTCTTTTGACACTCTGCTTCCTCCTCTAATTGTTTCTTCAGCAAGTTATTTTCCAGTTGCATCAGTGACTTGGATTTGATATTCTGTTGTTTCCTCTTCGCTTCTCTAATAGTCATCTGGAAAGGTTCCGGTACTGTGATCTTTGGGAACCATTTTTTCTTTTTCTTGTTTATCTTCAAAACATTTAATTTAGGTAAAATATTTTTAGCACACAGTGAATAATCCTCCAAAGAACAGGCATCCCATGCATTTTCAGTCTTGCCCAGTGTTACTGAACCAGCATCACTGTCACTTGCTTCTAACTCTAGTTCTTCATCAGTTATATCAGAGAAATTTGAATGAAAAGAATTGTTTAGATCAGACTCAGAAAATGATTTATGCATGTCCTGAAGTTGAAATGAGTTTGTTTCCCATGCTGATCTAAACATAACAAAAATGTAATGCTTAGTTCTCTGGAAGTGACACATATTAGCCTGATTTAATAACAGTTGTAGAACCTCCTGCCAAACTGAATAATAAAGGAGTATGTATGAAACAAGTATTGTTGTTTATGAATATATTAAGCTTTAGATTTTTAAAAAAATGCCAATTCTAAAACAATATTGAATTGGTTTCTGAATCATGTGCTTCTTTCTCCATATCTTTCTTGGAGTATAAATATTCCCACCGTCAGGCTATAACTATGGTTAACAATTACAGTTCCATTAAAATTCATTAATCAGACTGACAAAATGTAAAGCTAGAAAATGTGAAAATTACAACCAAAATAAAAAGAAGTTACAGGAACAAAACCCTTTTAAGGAAAGTTTGCACTGTTTTGGACTTTTAAACCAAGGGCAGATACTGGCAAAATGAAAACAAAATAAACATTCATACAATCAGGCTGACATGGAGAAAAATATTCCTAGATATTTTCCCATAAATTTTGATTGACCCCTGTGAGAAACGGGATTCTGAACTAGATGAGCCTTTGATCTGGTTTTACTGGACACCTCTTATTCTCTAAATATTTACACTTTATTGTTGCTAATAATAAATATAATAGTATAATAACACAAAAACAACACTAAGACAATACTTTCACTAAGGTTACACTTAATATTTCCATTTATACCTATGATGAAAAGCCAGTTTTTAACTATGGTTTCATATTCCATATTAATTATTAATACCAGTTCCTGTCACAGCCAGCATTATGTTTAATCACACTTCAAAAGAAACATAGGAGAGAAAAATATAAGCAGTATGATGCCTTCTTCTATTTTTCCTTAACGCTGGTTAAGCCATTAGTATTGTTACATCCTTACCAACCTGTAAAGCCTGGGAAGGATAAATAATGATCTCTCACTGATTCATTTTATTCTTGCATACCTATTTCCTCCTCTATCCCTGCTAGAAAAGCTCTCTGGAGAGTTAAAGACCTTATAGAACAGCATGAGAAAGAACTCTGCTGGTTCTTGGTCCATTCCCTAAATCAAGGATCCATCTCAATGTAAATCACAAGACTGTAATTCTGGCTGGCAATACAGTTTTCATAACTGTATATTTCACATTTAATAACATTTAAAAGCAAACACTAGTTCTTACAACCAAAGCAGAACAGAACCTAAATTTAGAAAAAGTAATGATCTACTAATAATTAAAAAGAAAAAAAAAACAAGAAACAAATATTTTCAATCTTTCCTCTGTTTTTTTCTGTACCTGGATATAGCTCAGAGTAGGGCCACTGTCTACAAGAACTGAGGATTCTTTTTAGTTTTGTTTTCAATCAACCTTATTTATATTCCTTTTTGGCACCTAGTAGATTTAATAACAACAATATTTTGGTGCAATGATCAATATGCTGATTTCTATCTGCAATATTTAACTACTTTGAGACAAAAGAGAATTCACAAGTACAGATCATTGTAAAAATTACCTGTAAGTCTTACTACAAGTCACGTCTGAGTTGGTTAAAGGATGAACATCTTTTAGAAATAGCTTATTCTGATACATGTTTTCCAGTTTTGCCATGGTTTCCAGATGAGCATTCTTAAGTTCTTCCAGCTTTAAATAATATTCCTGATTTGAGAGGTACATGTTTGAGAGATCTAGCCAATCTTCACAATGAGCATACATGATGGAATTGTATTCTCTCCCTGGACTTAAGGATTCCTAAAACAAGAGATGGCCATACAGTATTTGTTTTATTTCCTTTTGAGAAAATTATTTTTATTCAAATGCTTGCAATTTAATAGTGTTGGTGTCCCAAAGGCAGTTAAGAAACATGTAAGACTTCTCTATTTGCTTAGATTTGCAGAGTAGAAGGTCCCAGATACATAATACAAATTAATAACTTGACAAAGCCTAAGATCAATAGGTGATTCTGGACAGCAAATGGTTCAAAACTTAGTACAGAACATCTCTTACATCATGTATACCGGTCTGAAACCTGAAGCTCTTCTCTTTGCTAAATACATATACAGTTTCCAAGCGTCAACTCCTTGAAAATACTGTGAAATATAAAATGGGCCCATGGAATAATCCAGGGCACCCTTAATGGTGCACAAATCCTAGCAAACACCAAGATGAAAGAAAATTTCTAGATGTGAGTCAAACCAAGTAACTGGAGCTAGGCCAGCCTATCTGAGCCTCAGAATCTAGATGACCACTAAATGGCAGCAGATACAGAAAATTCTAACTCTTTGCTGCCATTTAGTGGTCATTAGATTTTTGCAGCCCTCAGGCCTAGCAGGACAGAACAGCAGACTAAACCCTAGCTCATACAAAAATGGTCAAAATACAGACTACTCAATTGCTTCTTTACATACTGTTTTATAAATTGAGTAATTAGCACTGCTGTGCAAAAACACTTTTTTCTCCATTAACTATATTTCAGCATCACATATAATGAAACACTGTGCTGTTTCTGTGTAGCTAGACATAAATCCAGAGCCAGTTTGGTCATTGTGCTGACATAAGATTCCTCATGAAAGAAAGAACAAAAGAGGGAGGGAGTTTAATAATTTGGAAATCTTGTTTTTGTTTTGTGTGGCTGATACCGCTTTCATCATTCTCTGAAAAGGGAGAGCATTTAAGAGCATTTATTTATTGGATTTATGTCCTGCTGTAATTGGTGTATAGCTAGATATACGAGGTGTAGAAGACAGAATACAAATGCAGGTGAATTTGAGAGCAGGCTTCTAATGCATCAAGGAACAGAGTTTCTTAATTAAAGGAAGTGTAATATACAGTAACAGCTACATAGTCTCCCAAATTTGTCAGCTTGTGAAGTTGTGTTCAGTGCTGTTAACTAAATGACCGGTCCGGATGGTACAAAGCCATTTTCATTAAGAAAATCCGGATGGCAAAGAAAAATTCTCAGGGATCCTGGGTTTCTTGGAGATAAGAAAGAGAGCAAAGACGTGCCTTCACTAGCACATTTTCAGCCTAGGAAGTTCTGGCTAGATAAGGCTGGAATCACATAACATTCTTATCCGAATGGATAACCTATATGGGATTCAATTAAACTGACTTTGGGGTAAATTTAGGATTGGGCGAGATTATTTAAGGGAAAGGCAAGCTATAGTCAAAGAGAAGAAGAGGACGACAAGCAGCAATGTGGGTGCACTCAGTTACAGTAGCGATGAGTGCACCGCTGGAAGAGCCGAAGGACCAGGTTGGGGACAGATCGTCATGGAGAAGAATCGACACCGACGTGATGGCACCTAATCGTCATAATCAAGCTTTAGTCACGTGGCCCTGCTCCCGCTTCCTATCCGGCTGGCGAATAAAGACCCGCCCGAGCCGAGGCCTTGAAACCCCTCGCGAAGCCATTTCCGCAGAATCCCCGTCTCTCAATTTCATGCTCCAGCCACTAGGGGCAGCAGCAACTACCGTTTTTAGCGGCGGCGACAGCCAGCCAGCCAGCCTTTCCACCCACCCACCCACCCAACCTACCTACCTACCTGCCCCACGCCATCTCCGAATGAGGCCCTTCCTGGCTCCCGTTCAAAATGCGCGGCCGGCGCTCTGGTGCGCGGGTTCACCGGCGTACGCAGGCAGGAGGCGGTGAGCATAGCAGCTCGATGGGATGCGTCCATGGGTTTCTCAAAGGACAGAAGGAGGCCAGCCTCCTGCTGGGCCTGGTTATCAAACCCCTTCCCTGCGTCTTTGGTTGCTAAGGTTACTCGGCTTAGATTCTTGAGACGCTACGGCGTCTCGAAGAGGACAGGAGGCCTCTCATGAACAAAGACGTGTCTCGTCCGTGGAATCGGTTTCTTGGAATTCCCCGTCTGTTCTGAAACCTCTCCCGTTTTTTCCCGTGTTAGAGGAATCTCGGGAGACAACGGGGAAATCTAGGACTGCAACTATGCAGTGTTTTAATGGCAGCAGGTCATCAGCTCACATCAAAAGATTATGATTTTTTAAAAAAATGGATCTTACTGTGTAGGAATTATTACTGGAAAAGAGGTGGATTTTTAAAAAATGGAGAAAAGTATCAAGCATTAATTTCACATTATAGACTAGAGAAGAGAGGCCAAGAAATACAACAGTAATCATGAGGAAAAAAATCTAAAATTAAATTATTTTATAGATCTAAAACCATGAAAATTAAATAGTTGCAAAATTCAGAATTTCGAATAAATCTTCATCAAACCCAATGGACACAGGCCAGGAAAAAGGGGGTGGAGTGGAGGGAAATGGGACTGATGTTGGAACCAGTCTGAGCAATATTCTTTAAGTTGGAGGGAATCTCCAGGCACGCAGATTTGGTTTGACTAGGTACAAAGGTAGAGTTAGATTGCAACAAGGGATGAAACATTATTGGAAAACTAAGAAGTCTGCAAGTGTTTTGCAGACCTTGAATAATACTGCTTCTGCTGCTCATCAAGGACAAAAATATTATTCTGGACCATTCTTTTACAATGTAAATATTAAAACCACCCTGTATTATAATTCCCACATTATAAAAAGGAACCGTAGTAAATAAAAGTGGTTTACAATCACTAATACTATTTTTCAAGTTACCACCAAGTTGATCATTCCTGGCAAAATACTTACTGCTAATGATTGAATTTGGCTGTTAATTTCACTAGCACTGATCATAGTGAGCTTGTTACCACATTAAGCATCTTTTAAAGAAAACTGCAAACTTCAAACTACAATAGTTTGTTTCTCCATTGCCTTAAAAATCCCTAGTACATATTTGTACACAAATATACTAGGCTTGTGCCATCTTAAAAGACCACACTTTCTAGAAGCTGCTTCTATTTTCATCATTTTATATTATCCATGCTCTCTTCCAGAAGCCAATTTTTTAAAAATGCTTAGATGTATTCTCTGGTAAGTTATTTTCCAAGAGGTGGAAGATGAGGGAACTATTAAACCTTAGTTTCAAACCAACTTATATAAAACAGTATGTAGTCAAACACAGTGGTTAAAAATTTGTCAACCCTCTACAATTACTTATAAACTTGGAGCACTGTGACTTAGTCACAAAGCACTGAGCTTTGTCTAGTGTCAAGCCCTCAATCTAGTTTTCAGCTCATCTTTCGTGAATTACTGTTAACTCTAGTCTACCATTTACTCTTCAGCAGTGTGATGAGCAGAGCTATCAAACCTCTGTACATTACCCAAGGATTATGGGTCATGAGTTAGAATGTGTAGCTTAGCCTATACAGAACATGTTTCAGCACAAATCTAAAATCTGATGAGTACTCAGATAGTACAAATCTCATCTGCCATCGCTGAAGTCACCTGGAAGCATTAACAAAACTGAGGAATCCCTGTGCTTTTAGCACAATTTGAAAACTACAAGTGTAATGATGATTTTAAAATATAAATAGGTAGTTAATGTATTTTTATTCTGAGGCTTTTAGGTATATTTTTAATTACAGGTAGTCCTTGTTTAGTGAACACTCGTTCAGCAACCATTTGAAGTTACAATGGCATTGAATGAGGAGACTTATGACTGGTCCTCAAAGTTGCAGCTGTTGCAGCGTCTCCACGGTCACGTGATTACGATTCAGGCACTTGGCAACCAGTGTGCAATTATGATGGTCACAGCATCCCACGGTCATGTGATCACCATTTGCAACCTTCACTGCCAGCTTCTGGCAAGCAGTCAGTGGGGAAGCCAGCAGGAAGTCACAAGTCACAGTCACATGACTTGCGCTTACTGAAGTGATTCACTTAACAACCGCAATTGGAACTGTCGTAAGTCAGCATGGTCACCTGATTTTGCACTTTACAACCACATTGCTTAGCAACAGAGTTGTACAGCTATATAAATACAAGTGAAAAACATTAAGATCACAATTGAAAATCTTTTCTTTACTGCTAGACCCTTAAAAATGTGCATTGAGATAACTGGATTACTGTTAAAAATCAGACAATAAAGGTTTTAATAATTTTAGAAAGTTCCTTTTAATTTATTAACTCATTTTGTTTCAAAAAGTTCTACAAAAGGTAATAAAGATCTTTACAATAGTATTTATCCTAACTTAATCCAAAGGATAAACCAAAAGCAGAATACCATATGTTCATACTAAATTATATGAGCTTAAGAAGTGTTCCTACTGATGGCTAGTATTTGACAAAGGTTTTCAGCCCAACCTTTCAGTAATCAAAATAACGGCACACAACTTCCTAAATAGCTTTGTTCAAGGAGAACTTAATTGGCAAAACCACTAAAGAGGTCAGAGAAGCTCATGTTTCCACAAGGAGCAATGTGGACAGCAAATTCTGATGATGCCAAAATGATGCACATGCAGCGACATCACACAAATGGCATTATGTGCTTGTGTCCTGATGTCAGAATGTAAGTCATGGCATGTGCCTGATATTTTCACATGTGTTGTGATTTGCACCCACTCTCCCTGCACAGATGCCAATGTCCATGATTGCTGTTCACATTTCTCTGGCAAATTCCTCTCGCATTAAAAAAAAAATCCACTAACAATTAAGAGAATAAAACATTGTCTGAAATGCATGTTAAAGAACGGGTGATAAAATTAGTACCTAAAGGACACTGTCCCGACTAATTTAAATTGAAGAGCATGTACTGAAATCAGCGTAATTTTTTTAAAAGGACCACAATCCTGCCAATTTAAGTAGTTTTTAGCTCTGTAGGTTTAATTATTGAAGAATTTAAACAAAGTCTGCCTTTTGAAGTTGAGGTTTTATTAACTTAGATTGACAGAAGAACATGAACACAACTGCAAGTTTAGTAGGTGTCTAACACAGTGCTTCTATAAAGAGCCAAGTTCCAAACTTAGGATAGCGTACAATGCTGTACTGCCTCTTCCTTTAGCCATTTCATCGAGTATTCACCTGTAAAAAAGACAGAGGATATTATGTGGAATGATAACTACTGTATTATCTGTCAGCCTTCATTCTCCATAATGTAGTACTCTAAATTTTCAAAAACAATTGCAGATGCCTAACTCTCAGCATCAAATTACCTCAATTATAATTACAAAATACATTTTCACTTACATATATTTATATTATGATACGGACTACCATTTTGGTTTTAAAAAGGAAACAAAAATTGGACAAATAGGGTATTGGAGCAATTGAAAGAACGTTAAACAGCTTACCACATCATCAATCTTAAGAATGCTGCGGACTGTTTCTGTAGCTAGGGTGAGAGCACTGATTGACACCAATAAAGGCTGGACCACCAGCTCTTCCAAGATATTTGAAATTCCACCCTACAATTTAAAAACCACGTCATTGTACTAACAATTATTGGCAAACATCTTAAATATGAAATCATATATTTCTAAGAGTTTTCATTATGAATTTAAGACATCTTTTCAAATGTCTACACTGAATCATACTCATCCAGTTTGTGACATGTTCTCAACATGCTGTACCTATCAGCACAATTAGGCATTTTGTTCCTATATACATGAGGCTTTGCTGCATTAAACACCAAGCAACTGTTTCCTTTTTAATGATGCTAACACCATTAGAAATTAACTATATTAAATTCGTAAGTGACAGATAACACTATGAAAAAAGCCTTTCTTTTATATTGTTAAGTAATTAATTTCTGTAAATCAGAATTCATTTCAATTCTGCTTAGAATTGCAAACCAAAACCAAGTATTTAATTCCTGGGGAGTGACTTCTTTTTAAAGAGAAGGACCAATAAGAATACAAGATCACTGAGCTTAGAGGTCATTGTGAGGTGTTTCAAACTAATGGCATTTTTCAAATTAAAGAAATAAATGTTCTGACAAGTATTTCCCAAATCTAGAATATAGTTTTGGAACTAACAAAATCAAACTATTGACCTTAATTACAGAAATGGTTAGGGATTCTGTTTACATAAACAAATGGAAAGAGAAGTATAGCATAAATAGGATCAGACTAGCTTCCCCTGTGTCTTTTTGCAGGAGATAAAATTTTATTAAGCCTATTTTATTGCCAACAAAATAGTGAAAAAACACACCGCCTTTATTAAATTATGCAAACTTGGGGGCTCCAAGAGCTATATAAAAAAGGTCAACAGGGCTACATATGGGTCAATACTTGCTCGCTTTTTCTTTATTAAAATAATTTAAAAATAATGTTCAGAATAGCTATTTTTTATTGATATAATACCAATTATTCTCTCCAGCTACATGACTGCCATTTTCACTGACACATCTAAAACCCAAATAATGAATATCTATTAGCATATGTAATACTACCTAGATAAATTTCAGCAAGAGGCAGCCCCCAGCCACCTTTGCTAGGTTCAGAAGCTACACATAATTGGGCCTGGTTAGTACTTGGATGGGAGACAATAAGAAATTCCAGGGCTGCAAATTAGATTAGGAAATTGGGGGGGGGGGGACCCTGGAAGAACCAGTGGCAAATCATTGCCAAATAAACTACATGGATGTCAGCAAGAATCAGAGTGACTCAAAGGAGATTTTAGATAAGCTTCAGAATGCAGAGTGTTCAAAGAATGGTCAGCTTGTAAGAGCTGTTTGCAGTGTTACAGACTCAAAACAACAACCACAACAAAATCTTATCTTTTGGAGCTTGGTCCTCGGCTTGTAACAATCAGGTGTTTCACTCCAGTTTGGCTTCACCTTTGCTACCAG